CTGGTTACTATGTATCAATAGTATATTCAAATACAATGCCATATTTTATCTTTCCATTTAAAAGTTGAGTAGTATATATTTAGAACCAGGCAATATTTGTGAGATGTGGCTATCGATCCACATTAATTATGTCAGCCAATGTTGTATACCTAAATTACCTTCTCAGGTTAAAAAACTTGCTCAGAAACTGTTGTGGTTTATTGTTGTTTCAGTCCTGTCTAATGAACAACGGAATATAACAAAATGTAGACCAAATGTATATGTATATGAAACAAAATAACAAACAGTAAATATAACAAAGGTAAAAAAAATAAAAATAAATATAAAAAAATACTGATGTTAATGGATTGCTGATATACAATAACTACCAACCTTCAGTCATCAGTTTATTTTTGTTTTATATATAATACAAAGCAATAGACCATAAGCCCTCACGCCCGCTTCGCTTTTTGACGTTAGGGGGACACAGTATGTTTCCATGGACGTATCTGGATATACCCAGAAGCAAATATTCAACAGCTGATCTGCAGCAATTCTCAGTAAAGTTTCTCTCTTCAAAATCTGTACACCATGATAAAATGACACTGAATATAAGAAAATAATTTTTAATCATCATTTCCATTTTATTTTTCTATATGTACTTTGTTATTGAATCCCAATTTACATACAAACTTCCACAATACTGGACTTCATGAACTGCCAGCGCTTATGTACAGGTATGTCACAGCACCAGAACACAAAGAAGATCCAAGATACAGTCTGGACCTGTACACTAGCTGACCCGCCTTCCAGAAATAGGAAACATGTGATGCAAAATCTTGGAACAGAGGATCCACAGTTATCCGAACAATTAACTTGCATTGAAGTAGAATGTTACACAAAATACAAATGTAGATCTATTGTTTTTTTATCAGAGATGTTTAACTGCTAACTACTAGTGTAAATAAGGTGCAAAGAATATATCCTAAGTTCAAAGCTTTTGTCAATACAATTACATATTGACATTATTGCTTCTAATTAAACAATGATAATCTTTGTTTTATTAGATCTGAGACCATATCCCTAGAGGACATAACACTGATTTTGATCTATTTCCTTTTCTGAGATACTTTACTGGTGTCATAAGAATTATAGTAAAGTTGATTCAAAATTTGGTCAAAGTCATAACAAAGGTTTAGGAAAACAGACATGAAAATGTCCTGAAGCGCTCACCTCCTACAAACCAGTGTGCAATTAAATATGAAACTCATTTTCCAAATAACCATCAACAAACCTTGAACAATTTGTCCAAATCCATCATCTTAATAAACACTAGCTTTGGCTCAGTCTTCAAATATTAGTAACCTCCTAAAAACTGATGATTTATCAGAAGAATTACATCAAATATGGGTTAAATATATGTTTCAATATTTATTCCGTTACATGAAAAGTCAACTGAGATTTTTTGTAAGTTATTCTGTTCCAGGACTGGATAATGCCTGACCAGGGTTGACCAAAACGTAGCCTTTGCTTTTTTCAAATTCTCTGGATGTTGAAATAACTTAAATGAGTTATGATACTAGCAATCACTTTCAGAATTATCTTAATATTAGTAAATGTAGTATTTAAAAACATCTAAAAGCAGGAGCCAAGAAACCAAGTTAATACCAAGTGATTGTCCTGCATGATATGTATGGTGTTTGTTTGCCTAGTTCTGCCTTAAAATCATAAGAATCTGATATGTCAATCAATCAAATAATTATTTATTATTGATTAGATTATTATTAATTTTATTACCCTTCCACGTTTACTAAAAAAGCAAGATTCTTAAAACATACCTTGCTATCATTTCCAGTGAATTAATCAAAATTACAGTTGTAATATTACTCCTAGAATGTACCAATATATGTGAATAATTTATGTGGTAACAAAACTTCAAATAATGTTCTCCTAATTAAGATATACACTTTATTTCACTCGTCCAATACTCCAGAAAGTCAATCACTATTCTTCTCACATAGTTTTCGTGATTCGATCAACATGGAGGAAGGTAATTCAATTCAAAGTCCCATGCAACTCTTTATAAAAAGCTGAAATATTTAAAGCAAGGTTTTATAGGCACTCATATGAATTAAGTTTGATACTTGGATATTGCATGATAGGCAACTGCTGACACTGACAATATTTCCGTTGAATAAAAAAATATTACTCCTCGAATATTTTGCTCTGTTAACAAGATACTGTAGGCCTTCAGATTGTGCTTATGAAACTTAAAAACATCCTAAAATGTGTGACAAATTGAAGAATATCTAAGAGCCAAGGGACAATATCCGCCACATTTTCTTTCATGTAACAAGTTTTGCTATTTCAGTTGACCGTAACTCCGAAATGGAGATTTGTTTACATCGTGTCCGCCTCTCGCATGTCTCATTTGAGCTTTATGGCGTATGCCAACTCAATGCCTAGTAGTGACTAAACACGCTAAGCAATGGCATCATTCAAGCACATATTGTATCTAAGTGTAACAATATTGTATCTCATGTAACAATATTGTATCTAATGTAACAATATTGTATCTAATGTAACAATATTGTATCTAATGTAACAATATTGTATCTAAAGTAACAACATCAGTTAGATTTATGTCTTATATTGTGAGTTGTATCTGACACTGCTAACCATAATCTTTGTTATTTTGAATGAACAAAACTGTCATTTAATGACTAGATAGAAATGATGGTACGAAAACCGAAAATACCGAATTTTTGGATTGCATAACTACCACTGTATACCGTTTCCATGACAATGTTGTAATGTGTGTACACATGCTGAATGACATCATGGAAGTGGTGTTGTGTCGGTTTGGCAAACAGCCTTGATTATCCTTGGTATCAAGGACCCATTGTGATATACACCCTGACCCCCTCACCATTAGAGATCCATGTCAGAAGTAATGTCACCCTCTTAACCTCACCTTGTCATATATTTAACAGAGATCTTCTCTCACCAATGAGCTTGAGTTCACCCAAGGACAGTACCTATACTATGGATGCTAAAGGGAAGAACAAGGTTGGATCTTATGTCTTGGATACTGGAAGGAACAAGATTTTGTCCTTATACCCTCGATACAGGAACAAACAAAATTCGGTAATTAGACTCTGGATATAGTGAGGAACAAGTGTCATTACTTAGACGTTGCAAACAGGGAGGAACTGCATCGGTAGGTATACCCTGGATACCAGAAGGAACAAGTGTCATAACTTAGACGTTGCATACAGGGAGGAACTGCATGGCTAGGTATACCCTGGATACCAGAAGGAACAAGTGTCAGTTCTTAGACATCGCTTGCATACAGGATAAAAGGAGGAACAGGAATTGGAACTGCATACAAGGTTGGAACTTATACCCTGGATATATCCTGGATACCAGAAGGAACAAGGTTGGTTCTTAGACGCTGGATACCAGGAGGAACAAGATCAGTAATATAAAATACACTGGATACCAGAAGGTTGGAACAAGTGGTCTATAGGACAAACAAGATTACAGCAATATAAGGATACCCTGGATACAGGAAGGTTGGTACTTATACCCTGGATACAGGAATGAGATTACAGAACTGCATGGATACGGTAGGCTTATACCCTGGATACTTAGAATTTGGATACAGAAGGGTACTTATACCCTGGATACTGAGGAAGTGTCATACTTATACCCTGGATACTAGGGAACAAGATTACAGCAATATAAAATACCCTGGATACAGGAAGGTTGGTGCTTATACCCTGGATACTAGAGGGACAAACAAGATTACAGCAATATAAAAATACCCTGGATACAGGAAGGTTGGATACAGGAGGGAACTGCAATATAAAATACCCTGGATACAGGAAGGTACTTATACCCTGGATACTAGAGGGACAAACAAGATTACAGCAATATAAAATACCCTGGATACAGGAAGGTTGGTACTTATACCCTGGATACTAGAGGGACAAACAAGATTACAGCAATATAAAATACCCTGGATACAGGAAGGTTGGTACTTATACCCTGGATACTAGAGGGACGAACAAGATTACTGCAATATAAAATACCCTGGATACAGGAAGGTTGGTACTTATACCCTGGATACTAGAGGGACGAACAAGATTACAGCAATATAAAATACCCTGGATACAGGAAGGTTGGTACTTATACCCTGGATACTAGAGGAACGAACAAGATTACAGCAATATAAAATACCCTGGATACAGGAAGGTTGCAATTGGTACTTATACCCTGGATACTAGAGGGACGAACAAGATTACAGCAATATAAAATACCCTGGATACAGGAAGGTTGGTACTTATACCCTGGATACTAGAGGAATGGAACAGCAATATAAAATACCCTGGATACAGGAAGGTACTTTAGTACCCTGGATACAGGAGGATACAAGGTTGGTATAAAATACCCTTATACCCTGGATACTAGAGGAGGAACAGATAACAGCAATATAAAATACCCTGGATACAGGAAGGTTGGTACTTATACCCTGGATACTAGAGGTTGATACCCTGGATACAGACAACAAGATTACAGCACAAGATTACAGCAATATAAAATACCCTGGATACAGGAAGGTTGGTGCTTATACCCTGGATACTAGAGGGACAAACAAGATTACAGCAATATAAAATACCCTGGATACAGGAAGGTTGGTACTTATACCCTGGATACTAGAGGGACGAACAAGATTACAGCAATATAAAATACCCTGGATACAGGAAGGTTGGTACTTATACCCTGGATACTAGAGGGATGAACAAGATTACAGCAATATAAAATACCCTGGATACAGGAAGGTTGGTACTTATACCCTGGATACAGGAAGGTTGGTACTTATACCCTGGATACTAGAGGGACGAACAAGATTACAGCAATATAAAATACCCTGGATACAGGAAGGTTGGTACTAATACCCTGGCTACAGGAAGGTTGGTACTAATACCCTGGACATATACAGGAAGGTTGGTACTTACAACAGGAACTCCTGCTCCCAGCAGGGGTTGTTCCCCTTCACCTGGATTGTGGTGGACTTCACATTCTGCAGCTTGAGGGTCACGTAGCTGTTGAAACGTTCTGAAAATAAACACAGCAAATGTAGAGTTGACCACATACAAACCATTAGGCCAGACCAATTTTATTTCTTGCTTTAACGGAGAAAAAATAGTAAATTTTCCCCGCCGACAGTATTTTTTTCAAGAATAAGAGAGAAAAAATAGTAAATTTTCCCCGCTCAAAAAATATAATCCTCATGTTTTTATTGGCCAAAAATGTAAACTTACAAAACAAATTGTTTGGATTGTTTGTTGCCCCATATACACTTCACTTCATAAATTGCCAAAACTAAAATACTTTTAGTATTTAAAAGGAATATTACTTGACTGGTGACATTTATTTTCTATTTTTTTCCTCCTGCCTTTAGGTTTTCTGAGGACAAAAATCCGTAAAACAAGAAATAAAATTAGTCTGGCCTTAGCATGCAGAAGGAGTCACCTTCCTAACTGATAGAATGTTCTTATACAGTTGCTCAGCAACCATGGTTTGCCCTTAAATTTGCTGTTTGACCATTACATGCCCTAAAATTTGCTGTTTGACCATTACATGCCCTAAAATTTGCTGTTTGACCATTACATGCCCTAAAATTTGCTGTTTGACCATTACATGCCCTAAAATTTGCTGTTAGACCATTACATGCCCTAAAATTTGCTGTTTGACCATTACATGCCCTAAAAAATTAGCTGTTAGACCATTACATGCCCTAAAATTTGCTGTTTGACCATTACATGCCCTACAATTTGCTCTTTAAACATTCATGTCACTAAACATATGTTTTTAAATCATGGCATGTCCCAACAGATTTATGCTTCAGCCTTGGCATGTTGTTCAGTGCTGTTCAACCATGCTGGTTCCTGAAACTTGTTGTGGCTTGTACCATTATCACATTCTCTTCAATCAAGGCATTTACAAAAAGTAATGCTCTTTGGAAAGGGGAGGTAAGCACTTAACAATAGGCTACTGCTCCATGTCAAATTGCACATGCTGCCATGTCCTCCAACATACAAAATCTGCTACAACCAGAGATATACCTAGGATTCCAAACTTGGGGCAAGACATATTTAATCTCTTTGATATTAGTATTTACAGGAGCTTTCTTGTTTTCTTACTTGATTCATTTTCACATTGAATTCAATGAAATCATGTAAAGTTCCCTCTTCAGCCATACAACAGCTACAGAGACTAACTGGTCTTAAAATATTCATGTCACATGAGTAAGTGGCTAATTGTGTGAGGTGGTTTTTAAAATGATCAGTGTTGCTCTAAACAGTACAGCAGTTTCATCAATATGTTTCAAAACAGTAAATACAAATCCATACAAAACACACGTGTAATAATGATTTCAGACTCTCGGCAACATTGTTGACATAATGCAAATACCATTATTGACATAATGCAGACATGATTGTGTGCACAAGTTGTAATCACGTCACAAAAGCAAAAACATCACGTTGTTGATGGCATGCTGACCTTGTGAGTGACTTGACAAATCTGTCAGGAAGAAATCTGACAAAACCATGCATCAGTGCTGTCAACATGTGACTTGATTCCAAACCCTGAAGACAACTACATTCCTCTTTTGTACTCGATTCCAAATGAACATTGTAACCCACACTTGGTGAAATACACTGCTGGGTCCAGCATAAGTACCAACAAATCCCTGTCTCAAAGATTAACCAAAGACCTTATCATGATCAAGGAAGGATCTTTTTTTTATTCTCAGAAAAATGCATGACAAGTGGAATTATTATTTTGTGGATTCTCAAAAACAACAACAATTTGAGAAAAGACAAACTTTGTATCCCTCTATTTATAAATTTAACATGTTATTAAGTTGTGACAAAGTGAATATCCTAATTAACTTAGCAAAATTTGTAAAAGAAGCTTTAATGTTAAGAAGTGCTTAAAAGGTGTATCTAACCATTTTGTCACTTGCATTATTATTTTATGAGTTTTTATACTTGGGCCTATGGCCTTTATACGGAATAAAAGTTTGATGACCTTTGTATTCCTGGAACCATAGGGCATTTGTCAACAATGATGGCCATAAACACTGTTACATCAGTATTGTCAAAAGTTCAAGACAATTTGTCCAAAATGAAAGCAATTCTTATCTGAAATTTACAGAGTATACAATGTGTAAAATGCTGGTATTCCTCATTGATAACATGTTATTGAAATATAGGGATAAGCCATTGAGGAAAGAAGTAGATATCTCCATGGGTACCAATTGCCCAGCAATGTTGCTGATCTGTCTCTTGAAGCATGCAAGTAAGGATTTCTGTTCGGATTAACAAAATCTAAACAAGCAAACATGATCAAGCAGCTTAAATTAATCTTCAGTTATGAATGATGATCTGATATGGTTAGTTAAGAAGCCCAAATTGTCAAAGAGTCCATTCCTTTCCACTGATTTACCAGCTACGCTAGAAATAGTAAAACCAGTGAAACCACCTGAACTATTCAGATCTATAAATAAAGAGTAAGGCAACAATTATCCTCAAGGCTGTATGACACTTCATCTTTCCAACAGTCAACTTTGCTTTTACAACAAGCAATGTTCCTGCATCTCCAACCGTTTGTGTCCACATTTCACAGGTAGCTGTTTGAGGTTCACTAGAGTTTACTCTTTCTATGAAGATTTCAAGATCACACCACTCTTACTCTAATGTCGTTTGACATAAGTGAAATTTCCTAGAACATGCCTTTCATGTGACATGAAGACAACAAATACAGAGCCACAATGACCACTCGCTACACATGTCTGCCCAATGTCCTGATGTATGAATGATTGATGTAGGAATTCAATAGGAAGGAGTTCTGCCACTTGTAATTTCTCACATATCTGCCTTTGAAAGTAAGTGAGTGAGTTTAGTTTTACACCACACTCAGCAATATTCTAGCTATATGGCGACAGTCTGTAAATAATCGAGTTTTGACCAGACAATCCAGTGATCAACAGCACAAGTATCGATCTGCGCATTAGGAACCGATGACGTGTCAACCAAGTCAGCAAGCCTGACCACCCGATCCCGTTAGTCGCCTCTTACGACAAGCATGGGTTACAGAAGATCAATATTCTAACCCGGACCTTCACGGGTAGCCTTTTAAAGACTAGTCCAGGGGACTAGTGTAAGTGAAAACCTTCAAACTTTGTTGCCAGCTCTGTTTGAACAAGACAAAAATGTTCACTATGTTTCTGTCAGGTTTATTCACTTCCAGTTGGTAGCAAAATTGAAGCGCCAAGAACTGCTTGATAATTACAGCTCTGACTCTCTACTTAAACAAGTGAACGAGACTTGGACCATTGGATTTTTGACTTGTCCTGACATGTGCAGTAGTCTTGGGCCAGTGGACATGAGTGAATTCCAGAAGCTGTATATGTCCCAAATATGTGTGAATCCAAAACTGACCTGAAATAATGTGACACAAATAGCTCTCTAATGTCTCACATCCTGCTGTGTGGCTGTCAAGAGTTTGGCTGTACAGGCACATTATGGTCATGAAAATAAAAATGCTTGCTAGCTGCAGTTGTAAGTGCTTACATCAACAACTGCATGTCTGGCTTGCAATATGTTAGAAACAGTAACAAAATACTGGATAATCATCACCTGTCATAAAAAGTGATATAATCACTGATTTCACCACCCTGACAGGAGGACTAAAACAATGACAGAATATTCCAACTGTAACAACTTGACAAGGACCATTTTCACTATGACCTTGACCTTACTGGAATGAAATTTCCAATGCTTACAACACTAAATACTTAGTTATCATGTAAATGATTCTGTTTTGAGTGACTTGACCTTCTGCATAACTAATAGGGATATCAAAAGATTTCCCAAGAGATGTAAAGTAGAGATTAACCAAATATGACATCCCTTGGGTGCATTCAATGCCACAAGAAAGCAATCAGCTTAACCGATGGAATACATCTAACTAACAAAATAACCACACATGTATGCAAAACACTCCATATTATGTGGAGAAAAAGGCATAATACTTGAACCAAGTTAATGAATGACCTTGACTTAATGAGGAGGTCATTCAAAGGCTAATCAATTCTGGACCGCTTTCAAGATAGCATGTGCCATTTGATTTCCAATCTCTATGGGCCTGCTTAAAAGTTATTGAGTTTTCAAACCTTTAAGTGAGTCAATTGGCAGAATCATTGCAAAGTCAGATTTAGCATCATAAGCTCTGCAACTTCAGTTGACTTCGAAGGACGGGTATATGATTTCTCTATTTTTAAGCCAGCAATGAAAGTTCAAAGAATCAAATGATTCATGAAAGGAATTTCAAAATGACAGCTGTTATGAACATCAGATCAGAATTCTATCAGGAGTTTTTGAGAGATAGGATGATCCATGTGGAACTTCAGCTTCACTTTACAGATAAGGCTGCTTTGCATGTGAAGCAGGCAATTCTTAATAGAACACTGCCAATAGGGGCCATATTTCAACCTGCATTGTTATACTGCTGCTATGGGCCATTTGATTTCATTTTAGACCAGATGAATTGCTCACTAACACAAAATCTAATAACTGCAACAAAAACAAATTTTGCACAGTCCCATGAAATCGACAGACCAACGCTGATGATTTGTATCATAATTTTGGACACCCAAATAACAATGTCGTTTAACAAACGATCATTATTTTGTTGTCACTTTTTACTATTTCTTACGAGGGGGGACCACTTGCTGGTAGAACAGACAGGTGTGCGAGTTGCACGTGTGAAATTGAAATTTCACTACACACGCTTGTTGATTACCTGGCTGTCCTACCAACTAAAACGGCCTGTAATGGTCCAGACAATGTTTGCCAGACAACTAATGTACATGTGTTGCAATCAAATGATGTTATGGAATAAGTTGGTTGATTACTAACATCATTGTGTTTAGAGAGCATAACAGACCACAGCAGAGGTATTGTTTATTATTTCTTTCATAAGATGTATTACAAGCTCGACTATCAGTATAATACTTTTGGGAGTGTTGGACCGGATGAAGACAAATC